ATAATACATTATGTAGTGAGCCATTATAAGGTTTCACCTCTACACCAACTATATCATATTATGTAGTGACCCATCAAAAATGTTTTACTTCTACACCCACCATAATACATTATGTAGTGAGCCATTATAAGGTTTCACCTCTACACCAACTATAACATATTATGTAGTGTGCCATCATTAAGTTTGACTTCTACATCCACCATAATACATTATGTAGTGAGCCATTATAAGGTTTCACTTCTACACCAACTATAACATATTATGTATTGTGCCATCATAAAGTTTGATGTCTACATCCACCATAATACATTATGTAGTGAGCCATTATAAGGTTTCACCTCTACACCATCTATAACATAGTATGTAGTGACCCATCATAAAGTTTGACTTCTACATCCACCATAATATATTATGTAGTGAGCCATTATAAGGTTTCACCTCTACACCATCTATAACATATTATGTAGTGACCCATCATAAAGTTTGACTTCTACATCCACCATAATACATTATGTAGTGAGCCATTATAAGGTTTCACCTCTACACCAACTATAACATATTATGTAGTGACCCATCATAAAGTTTGACTTCTACATCCACCATAATACATTATGTAGTGAGCCATTATAAGGTTTCACCTCTACACCAACTATAACATATTATGTAGTGACCCATCATAAAGTTTGACTTCTACATCCACCATAATACATTATGTAGTGACCCATCAAAAATGTTTTACTTCTACACCCACCATAACATTTTGAATTTCGCACAAAACCACTCGAGGGTTATCCTTCGATAGCCGTCCCCAATTTAGCATTGAAAGACTAGACGGGAGGCAGCTAGTCAACATCACCCACAATCAACTCTTGTGCTACTCTTTTACCAAATAATAGTGTGATTTACCGTCACATTATAACAACCCCAGAGCAGAAAAGGCGAGAATTTTTGCTGACGGAAATCGGAATCCGTGACCCACAGATTGTGAGTCGAGCGCACTAATCACCCGTATATTTTAACCATAGCTTACTATGAGGTGGGCGATCATAAAGTTTCACATCATGTATTATACCATACTATTTTGGTGTTGATGTGTGAGGAAGTTTAGTTGTCCGTTACTGATGAATAACGTGAAAGTTAATCCTGGCTGTGAAGTCAACTGGTTTGAGAATATTTTTCGTAGTTTTGCTCTATTTAAAAGACGAATTACAGTAACACAGGCATTTATTTTCATCACCATATTTAAGATGGTTATATATTTCCTTTTTAATTTTATTATTATTATTAAACTTTCTCGAGGCTTATCGCATTTACATTTTATCTTTGACAGAATATTCAAGTTTTATATTAATAAGCTGAAGATTAATTAAGAAAATTAATAGATTTTTTATTGAGCGTCTTGTAGCAAAAAAAAGAGGGCGTTGCATGGCCTGGTGGTTAGAGCGATCGACTCGTAATCTGCGGGTCGCGGATCCAGTATCCTTTACCAAAAATGCTCGCCCTCTCAGCCGTAGGGTCGATATAGTGTGACAGTCAGTCACTCTACTCGTTGGTAAAAGAGTGATCTTAGAACTGGCGGTGGGTGGTGTTGACTAGTTGCCTTTCCTTTAGTCTATCATTGCTAAATTAGAGACGGTTAGAACAGATAGCCCTCGAGTAGTATTGTGCAAAATTTAAAACAAAAAATAAGTTTGTAGAAAAAATTATTAAACGAAATAACGCGAGCGTTAAGTAAGAGAATTTTATTGAAAACTCAACTTTTTCCCTGAAGCAGAACATTATATTAGACTTAATAAGTGCTTAGTTACTATGCCGAGTGAACAACAATTCAATTTTTTATCCACGTGTTGCTGTGTCATTGATTGGAGCTGTGACGTAGTTTCCAGCGAGGGCAGCTATTTCAAGATATTTAATGATTTGACCAGCAGAGACACATAATTGTCCGTCTCTGCAAAGTGCAGCCACGTGTCTGGTCGGCCGGTGATGGGTGTGCGGAAGGGTAACCATGGCGACAGGAAACATTGATAACAGATTATCTCCACAAGTGTAGACGTCTGTTGAGATACACATTTGGCACTATAGAGGGTTGAATACTAGTGTCTTTACGTTTCGTAAGTAGAATGTGTACTATCTTCTTTATTTGTATTTACTTTTCTGGTTGAAATGTACAAGATATCTAGTTTTATTACTTTTTGTAGTTACATGTTTAGTATCGTACTTTCATTGTAAGGGTAGTTCTCATTGCTAACTTAGTCTATTTACTTAGAAGTATCCTAAATCTCCTGATCTGGCTGAATTTCGAAATATATTATTAGGTGTACGGCCGAAAATGTCGTTAACATCAAAGCACATTCAGTTAGCTATTCAGATTGTTCAGACTGTTTTAGTTTAACTCTAAATACATAGTTTACTATGATCGGAAATTATTATTATTAATTATCATACCTAATTCAAATATTACTAATTAATATGTGTCATCATTTCATTAAGAGACTGTCATAGTCCTTAAAAGTGTGCTTATTTTACGAATTATTTATTTTATTAAATAAACAGAAATATAAAATTGTTGGTAATTTTCGCAACAAAATAGAGCGTTTGCACTTTATATTTGTTTGTAATTAAGCACAAAACTACACAATGGCTATCTGTGCTCTGCCCACCACAGGTATCGAAACCCGGATTCTAGCGTTATAAGTCCGCAGACATACCGCTGTGCCACTGGGGGGCTACACTTTGTAAAACAACAAACATTAGAAATTGCCATACTCATAATTCAGTTCAGTTTAAGTACCAGTCAATTTTGTAATAGATTTGTACGGATTATTTTCAGAATTTTAGGATGAGTATATTGATGTCAAAGTCATCCTAAAAATCTGAGAATAATATGTTTAAATGTACTGCAGAACAGGGTGGGGCAAGAGTGATCGAACAGTTGTTTTATTTAGATTCTCTAAACATGACTAAAACAAATGATAATTAAATTAGTTTGAATAGTCTTCTTAATATAATTATAATTACCTTTTTTGAAAATAGGTGGGGCGGACTGGGATACTTTCGACATACGAGTTATCTTCAATATTCAGTATTTCTGCTGTACCAGTATGTTTTTTAATATCCCCCCCCCCAGTGGTACAGCGGTACATCTGCGGACTTCAAACGCTAGAAACCGGGTTTCGATACCCGTGGTTGGCAGATTACAAATAACCCATTGTGTAGCCTCATGCTGAACTTCAAATAAACAAGCTTTTCAATAAATACTATGTCATTGTCCTACTAATGTGCTAATCAATTTGGCTGAAAATTGTTTCCCTATTAAATATTTAAAGAAAAGTAGTTAATTTTGTCGAAATAAAGTTATTCCTTCATAGTACCAAATATGGCATACCTTTAAAAATACTTTATTATTCATAGCGATACTTTTTCTAAAAGAAAACGTAGGTAGTAATTTCTTGGCTAATAATTAACAACACATGTCATTCGTCGTAATACACAAAAATAATACATCTAACGGTATGTTGATCCATTATTTTTATGTTTAATTCACTGGATTTCTGTGGTAACAGGGGTTACAAAAAATATTTTTCTGTTTAATTCATTGGATTTATGTGGTAAAAAAGGGTTACAGAAATATTTTTCTGTTTAATTCATTGGATTTATGTGATAAAAAAGGTTACAGAAAT